TATATATATATATAGATATATATAAATGTTTCTTTAATATTTTAGTTAACAATAATAACAGTGTTTAAGTTTTTTTTAGTTAACATTTATCTAAAGTAACAAAAATGTTCTTATGCTTTTAGTTTGAGTGTTAATTAACAATAATAACCCTGCTGAAATGATTAACATGTTGTTTAGTGTGCCCTTTATCCTGCATTTACTAGTTTGTCTCACTTTGCTGCTGTTTGTGTGTTTGTTTCACACAGGGGTGGAAAATGGTATGAAATTATAAGGTTTCATTTGGTGTGGTCACATCATGCCAAATTCTCTTGAAAATTTACTTGCCATATTTGCCTGAAACGTTCCTGAATGTTTTAGGGTCTCTTGTCCATAAATGTTGAGACTGTACTGTAAAAGGCTTTTAGTCAAGACAGTACTGTATATGTGTAGATTTTCAAGGGATGCTTTCGTTTGGTTTCTGTTCTTCTGGTCGAGCTGTGTGTGTAATGTGACACTGAAAACAGCGGTGACTGTATCTGCCACTGCCCTTCTGAACATGTTTAATGCTTTTACTGTGAACAAATGTTTTATTTTCTGTAGTGACACACTTATGAAATGAAACATGCTGGATGTTTTATGGATAGTTCACGCAAAAATGAAATGTCTGTCATCATTTACTCACCCTAATGTCGTTCCTAATCCGTGAAACACATAAAGGAGATGTTTGGCACAATGTTATTTTCCATACAGTGACAGTGGAAGAAGACAGACACTATCAAGCTCCACAAATGACAAAACACCACTGAACCATCCTAAAGTATGATTTGTTTTCAAACAATCAAATTTAATTTGTTTTATGTTTAATTAAAATGCGCCTTTAAAAACATCATTTGATTTCCTTGATTGCAAACGGCATGTGGCTGATCGTGATGCAGCTTGAAAAACTTAATAATAAATGAGATAAGAGATTTGCAGTGGAAGGGAAAATGATTAGTAAATTGTTCCTTTCACAAAACTGTGGTATTACTAAGGCATTTTGCTAAACATCTCCTTTACTGTTCCATGGAAGAAAATAAGTCATATGTATCTAGAATGATATGAGAGTGGAAATGGTGAAAGAAATGTCATTTTTGGGTGAACTTTTACATGCTTGCATGTCTGTTATCCAAGTAAACTAATACTTTGTGTTTGCATGCAAATGTTGTCCTGAAATGTTTAAAATAGATTATTTTAGTTCAGACATAACAATAACCTTCATCATAACAAACAGATACAAACAGTAGTTTTACTAAATTTAATTGAATTAAAAACAATTTTTTTAGTAAATGCATGCCATCATTAACATTAAAATGAAATGCGATGCTTCTTTTTGTGTTCTGGGTGATTTTGGCATTACTGTACAAACTCTTTATGTATTTAATGCCTCTTTTGGGTTGGTTTTTTTCTTCTTTAGATTTTCGTCAGGTGTTTTCATCTGTATTTGAATGTTTGATGGTTTACACAGATTTATGGTTAATTTTTAAGCGTGTGTCCACGTCGTGGCATGGGCTGTCCCGTCTCCATAAGTGCAGAAATTATGATTTTAAGGGCAGTGTTTCAGAACTCATTCTGTAGATTGTGAGTGTTGTTTGTGTTTCACAGCACACTGATTAACCCGGGCAATCATGTGAAGATGCAGGAGGGAACACTGGGCTTCTTCATCGCCAGTGATGCCAAAGAGGTGAAGAGGTGAGGAGATCAATAAGTTTGTGTTGTGCTATTCTCTATATATCCAGCAATAGATTCACATCATATCAGTCATATGTTGTGTGGATGATTTGAATAAGATCACATTTTTCCACTAGGGCACTTTTCTACTGTAAAGCTTGTCATGATGACATTACAGACCCAAAACGGATCAAAAAGTGTGGATGCAAACGGAGTAAGTTACCATGAGAACATTTATTAATAATTGCCTTACATTCACATTTTTACATAAATATATTAAATATAATTATATTTATACATTTTATTAGGTGTATTTCATATCACATTTCAGATTACCTAATAAAAAAAAAAAATGTATTTTAACATTTATTAAATGATTTCACAGAGAATGTTGTGGCATCAGGAATCATTAAACTGGATTTGTTGTGAGGGTTTTACATTGCACTTTACCACAATTTTCCCCACAGCTAGCAAATAATGATTTAGATATTGAACAAGAACTCTCAAGAATTCACGTGTGGAGGAGTTTGTGAATGACATCTCTACCGAGGCTGTTTTATCAATATCACTGCACCGCCTGGCCACATTATCGACCTTTTTGGCTTTTACCTCCACCTGATACTTTTAAAATACATCAAAAACATTTTGTTAGTAATTGACACATTTCACATTCTCCCTTTTTCTTGCTGCCCTGGATCTGTGATAATTTCCCTCACCCTCTGATAGTGTTGTATTGTGAGTAATGACAGCCTTCATCTGTAAATGCAGATTTCTACTGTAGCCTGCTGCATGTGTGAATGGAAAACTACATCTTCCATCAACCCACTGTCCTCCACCACATCATCAGCAGGAGACAGCTTGACTTTTCACTGTTCTAACAGGCTCCTAACAGCACTTGGGCTTTTCTGAGGATTATTCTGTTTTGAGTTTAGATATCACCCCATATGTTTTTAATTAAAAAAATTTTAAGAATAGAAGTTTGTGTAATTTATGAGGTAAAATGTTATGTTTTGCATAATTTATGGTGTAAAAATACTCTTGTATTTTATATACCATGGCAGGACACGTTGATATCTTTTCTCATTCACCTCCATGCATTTCCATGCTTTACTTGCATCTCTAAAATACAGTATTCCCAAGAATATATAAAAAAATTAAAACAGCATTGGAGCCATTTGAACTGGTATGTTGTTGTTGAAAAATACAACAGATTTTACTATATAACAGAAACGTATATAACTTGATAACAAACATGTTTTTCTGAAGGTGTTCCTCAGGGCTCTATACTTGGCCCTTTGTAGTTTCCAGATGTCCAGCTTCTGTTAGTGAAATAATGCTCCCATCCATTAACATGCTTCTCCTCCTCCTCTCCCCTCATCCGCCCCATGACCCCAGCCAAGAAGTCCGCCTACAAGAGAATGCGTCTGGCATGTTGTGTAGCTTGCGGTGGGGCAGAACATGGCTGCTCGTGCATGTCAGACAGTGTGGCTAGTAACACGGAGGTTCTGCACCGTGGCTTCCCCTTCTCTCCCGTGTCTCTGTATGATAACACGACCACTTTACGCTCGTGTAAGTGAACGCCTCCCCGTGGCACCCATGCCGAGTGCCCGTATAGTCATCTGTACCCGCTACCTGTGTATGTGCCATCTGGCTGGTGCAGTGCCATGTAGTGGTGGCATCTGATGTGGTGAAGACTGCTATAAGCCCATGAATGTATCTGTGTGGTAGACTTGGTCTCCTGCATGCTGTTTGTGTGAATTGTAATGATGCAGTTTAGTAGTTAAGTTTTGTGATTCATTGAATCTTCATTGTAATGTTTTATTTTACATTTGGCTATGTACAGTGGTCTTTATCTGACATGTCCTTTAAACATAGTTTGTGGTTTATGCTAATAATCTAGATGTTGGATATGGTGATTGGTATTACTAACACTTATAGGAAAATGGCTATACTGTATAGGAGAATTGTACATAGGAGAATTACATGTTGTAAATACACACAGTATTTGTCATTTGTATTGGAGGTTGAGAGCATTGATATGTAAAAGCTTATACCAGCCTAAGGTAATTATCTGGTGTCCCAGCCTGGCCAAGCTGGTTAGATTGGTCTGGTTTGATGGTTTTAGGGGCACTTTGGGTCAGCTGGTCAGGCTAGGAGACTAGTTAAGTTAAGTTTTTGTGCTCACTGGGTGGTTGAAGATAGTCATTTCTAGATACAAATGATTAATAGCCATTTATTTCCATTTTCTTTCTCACTGGTTCATCATTTCATTGCTCCATGTGTCTCACTTTAACCTCGTTGTCTTTGCATTTTCTCAGCTAAAAGTAACTATAACGGATACATCAAATCAAGTAAGTCTTCTTCTTCCCCATTTTTACTTATTTGTTTCTTAACCGTCTGCTCTTTCTTCGTCACTTCCTTCATTCTTCTCTTCATGTTCTGCTCATCCAAACCTCAGTGATTACAAACATTTAATGTGATTTGGTCTGATGTATGTGTGCAAATTAAGGTGCAGAAGGATTATATACAGAAGCCCCCCAAAAAGTATTTGGACAACTAAGACATACATAAATATGTAATTGCATCAGATAATATATCAAAGCAAGTGCCATTCAAAATATTGAGAAATAACTTTTTTGCTCGTTGCTCATTAATAATAAGTGGCTATATGCAGTCAGCTCACACAGGATGTAAGTGTCCAAATACTTTTTGCAGTCTGTGTATATCACTATATCTGAATATCATGAATCACTGCAGACGCTTGCTCTCATTCAACACTAGGTGGTGCAGCTGCATTGCAGTTCTGATAATGTGGAGCTTGAACTTTAGAAACGGTTTAGATTTCACTGCTTTGGCTTTCATTTGTTTTTGTTGTTTTCAAAGCATTTGTGAAGTTTCAAAGCAAGTTGTGAATAAGGTTCATATTAAATGATGCAGAATATGTCAGCTAATGGTGATGTCAGCAATTTTAGTTTAGGAGTTTAGTTTATTATGCATAAAATATCATTACAACCTGACAGAAATCACTGAAATAAGGATCCATAGAAAATGCACCTGTCTTGGTGACTGTGGAGGATCAATAATAAATCAATATATAATTAAATAATTCACAAGTTATTTTTTTAAATATATTTGTTAATAAAATGAATCAATATAAAAACAAATGCACTGGATTTAAATCTGGATTTATTTGTTCCATTAAAATATTAAATAAAATCTAAATATAAAATATAATTAAATATTAAATATTAAAAAAATATATTTTATATAAAAATATAATATTTAAGAAAAATATGTTTGAAAAATTGTATAATAATATGTTTTAAAATAATTTAACAACAATTTAAACTGTATTACAGCACCTTAATATTAAAGTTGTTGGTCAAGACGGCAATGTTATTAAAAATATTTTCCATAAAAAAACACTTTTAAACATAATTTCCAAAATAATAGTAATAAAATAATAAATCATTCATATGCTAAGGACAGTAAAAAATGTTTACAGATTTGGCTGATTCTGTCCACCGCCTGATTATGAATGTTTCTTGTCTGACAGTAAACGATGAGCTCAATCCAACATTCCTGCCCCAGAATCCCAAACCCACCCTAATGCGAGTTCAGTGCGCAGTGAGAGCGCCTCCTGTTGTCCCGGCCATCCGTGTGTCAGTGCCTTTAGTAAATAACCGTAAAGGCAGTCTGCTGTCACCGGCCGCCTCATACCTGCACAGACTCAGTCTGGCTGGCTCTAGAGAGCTGTATCAGAGCAGCAGCGCTGGCTCAGGAGCCGCCGATGCCACCCGCCTGCATCGGGCCTGTAGTCTGCCCGTTAAATACAGATATCATTCCAGCCACGGCTCCACCTCCACCATCGGCCAGCACACGCTCTGTAAGACTCGGCCTGCCATTGTGGGAAACGCATGAGGACTAATGGAGTTCAGAAATACTAAACAAACCATCCTGAACCGCAATGTGAAAACAACAAAAACTAAATTTCAAGGTCTTGGATCCTTCCTAAGAGTGCTAAGATTTTTTTCTCTCTTCAAAAAACTTTTATTCTGAAGAGAGAAAAAGTTTTTTGAGAGAGAAGAAAAAAATTTTTAAAGAGAGAAACTTTTTTTTTAATGAGAGAAAAAAGTTTTGAAGAGTAAAAAAAAAAAGTCTTTTTAAGATAATTTTTTTAAAGGAAAAAAGTTTTTTAATGAGAGAAAAAAAGTTTTTTGAGAGAAAAAAATATATCAAGATACAAAATATTCATAAACAAGGAATAGGAAGGATCTAAGACACTATTTTCTTCCACATTTAATATTTTTTCTTTTTATTTTTTTCTTCTTTTTTTCCTGTTGCAGTTCAGGCCTTTCATAATATTGCATTAATTAATGAAAAATACTAAATCAGTTTTTATATTTGGTTTAGCACACACACACACACACACACACACACACACACACACACACACACACACACA